GAGCAGGGAGCCCGATGTGGGACTCGATCCCAGGACCCTGGGATCATGACCTGAGCCGAAGGCAGACGCTTAATGACTGAGCCACCCAGGCGCCCGACACCACATTTTCTTTATCCATTCCTATATCAGTAAACAGGTTGCTTCCATACTTTGGCTATTGTAAATAATGCTGCAGTGAACGTGGGGATACATTATGTTTTTGAATTAGTGTTTTTGTTTTCTATGGGTAAATATCCGAAGTGGAATTGCTGGATTTTCTATTTCTATTTTTATTTTTTTTGAAGAACCTTCAATACTGTGTTTCATAGTGGCTGTACCAGTTTACATTCTTTTTCTCCATATCCTTGTCAATGTTTGCTATTTTTTGTCTTTTTGATATACTAGCTATTTTGACTGGTGTGAAGTGATAGGTCATTGTGGTTTTGATTTATATTTCTCTGATGCTTGAATGTTGAGCATATTTTCATGTGTCTTTTTGCCATCTGTATGTCTTCTTTGGAAAAATGTCTATTCAGGTTCTCTGACCATTTTTAATTGGATTTATTTTGGTGTTGAGTTGTAGAGTTCTTTATATATTTTAGATATTAACCCCTTATCAGTGTATCATTTTCAAATATCTTCTGTTTGGTAGGTTGTCTTTTAATTTTGTTGGTTTCTTTTGCCTTGCAAAAGCTTTTTAATTTGATGTAGTCCCAATTGTTTATTTTTGCTTTTGTTTCCCTTGCCTAATGAGACAGGTCTAAAATAATATTGCTAAGACTGAGGTCCAAGAGATTACTACCTTTTATTTTATTTTAGGAGTTTTATGGTTTTAAGTCTTACTTTTAGCTCTTTCATCCATTTTGAGTTTATTTTTGTGTGGTATAAGAAAGCAGTCAAGTTTCATTCTTTTGTATATTGCCGTCCAGTTTTCCAGCACCGTGTTGTTTTTTTTTTTTTTTAAAGATTCTCTTTGTTTATTGAGAGAGAGTGGTCAGAGCCTGCGCGGGGGGTGGGGTGGTGCTTGGCAGAGGGAGAGGGAGGAGGAGACTCCCTACTGAGTGGGGAGCCTGATGCAGTGCTCAATCCTAAGCCGAAGGCAGACACTTAACCAACTGAACCACCCAGGTCCCCCTTGAAGAGACTGTCTTTTCCCCATTGTGTATTTTTGATTCTTTATCATAGATTAATTGACAATATAAGTGTGGGTTTGTTTCTGGGCTTCCTGTTCTGTTCCATTTGATCTCTAGGTCTTTTTTTGGAGCGGGTACCATAATGTTTTCATAGCTTTCTAGTATAGTTTGAAATTGGAGTGTGATTCCTCTAGTTTTGTTCTTTGTTCAAGATAGATTTGGCTGCTCATGGTCTTTCTTGGTTCCACATGTTTTAGGATTTTTTTTGTTGTTGTTCTAGTTCTGTGAAAAATGCCATTAGTATTTTAGTAGGGATTGCATTAAATCTGTAAATTGCTTTGAGTAATATGAACATTTTAACAATATCAATTCTTCCAGTCCATGAGCATGGAATATCTTTCCATTTATTTGTATCATCTTCAGTTTCTTTCATCAATGTGCTATAGTTTTTAGAGTATAGGGTTTTTTACCTCCTTGGCTAAATTTATTCCTATTTTTCTAATGCAGTTGTAAATGGGATTGTTTTCTTAATTTGTCTTCCTGTTAATTTGTAATTAGTGTATAGAAACATAATAGATTTCTGTATTTTAATTGTATTCCGCATCTTACTGAATTCACTTAGAGGTTTTTTATGGAGTCTTTAGGGTTTTCCATATAAAGTATCATGTCATCTGCAAATAGTGACAGCTTTACGTCTTCCTTACCAATTTGGATGCTTTGTATTACTTGTCTGATTGTTGTGGCTATGATTTCCTGTATTATGCTGAATAAAAGTGACAAGAGTGGATATCCTTGTCTTGTTCCTGATCTTAGAGAATGGAGCACTGGGTGTTATACACAAGCAATGAATCAGGGAACACTACATCAAAAACTAATGATGTAATATATGGTGATTAACATAACATAATAAAATAAAATTAAAAAAAAAGCTTTCAACTTTTACCATTGGGTATGATTTTAACTGTGGGTTCATCCTACTTGGGTTTTATTGTGTTGAGGGATGTTTCTTCTGTACCCACTGTGATCTATTTAATGTATAGTTGAATATTGTTTGCTAATATTTTGTTGAGGATTTTTGCATCTATGTTAATCAAGGCCTGAATTTTTTTGTGGCATCCTTTGAGAAAAGGCTGTATCAGGGTAATGCTAGTCTCATGAGTTTAGAAGAGTTTGGAAGAGTTTCAGAAGAATTGGTATTAATTCTTGTTTGAATGTTTGGTAGAATTCGTCTGGTCCTGGATTTTTGTTTGTTGGGAGGTTTTTGATTACTGATACAATCTCCTTACTAATAATTTGTTCAGATTTTCTCTTCTCTGAAAATGTCTTTTAACCTCACATGATTCAATCTCACACGACTACCCTTTACTTCAGATGACAATTGCAAGTAGTATGTCCCCAGATTATTCAAAACTTCTGTCCAACTTGGCTATAAATTAGAGGTTAAGTGTCCCTTCTTGGACTTGATCATTTGCTAGAACAGCTCACAGAACTTAGGGAAAACTAACACTTAACCAGCTTATTATATAATAAAAGATATGATAAAGGATACAGATGAAGAACCAAATGAAGAGATACATAGGGCGAGGTCTAGAAGAGTCCCAAGTGCAGGAGCTTCTGTCCCTGTGGAGTTGGGGTGTGCCACCCTCCTGGTACATGCATGTGTTCATCAACCCAGAAACTCTCCAAACCCCATACTTTGGGGATTTTTATGGAGGCATCATCATGTGGTATGATCAATCATTAACTCAATCTCTAGCCCTTCCCCTTCTAGGAAGAGATTGGGGGTAGGACTGAAAGTCTTAAGCTTCTAATCATGGCTTGATCTTTCTGTTGACCAACCTCTGTCCAGGGCCCACCAAAAGTCACCTCATTAGAATGAAGGTCATTTCTGTCACCCAGGAAAGTTCAAGGGATTTAAGAGCTCTATGTCAGGAAGTAGGGTCAAAAACCAAATCCTAGAACAAAAGATGTTCCTAAGTACTCTTATCATTTAAAGAAATTACAAGGGTTTTAGGAGCTTTGTGCAAGGAACCAGAGATGGAGATAGGTAGATATTTTTTTCTGTTTCACAGTACGGGATTCTAGCTTGTCAGTTCTTTTCTATTAGCACTTTAAAGATATTGCTCTGCTGTTTCTGGCTCAGCAAGTGATCTTTTATGGTGACAGTTTCTGATGAGAAATATGCAGATATTTGAAGCATTGTTTTTATTCTCCTTTAAAGATAGGGACCCTGTCTTGGATCTTTTTCACCATTACCTAGCACATCTCTGATGTGTAGATGTACAATAAATTTTTCTTGAATTTATTTTGATTGTATTACATCTTAAGCCTGTCTAGTCTTAATTTAATTAGGGTTCTATTTTGGCAGGATCAGAATTGCCCAACATGTATTATTGCCGTTAAACTTTATAAGATCCCTTCACTAGATATGAATAACCAGATGAAAGAAACCATTGCATTACTGATTTTTTGAAATGTTTCTCTCCCAATTTTCCTTTGTTACCTGGCTTCCTTTCCATGTAAAAGGAAAAAAGGAGGCAGTAGATACTTATCAAAATTATTTGCTTCTCTTCTCTTTTGCATAGAAACTACTCATCACTTTATAAAATAATGGACTGTTAAGGGACATTCAGAAAACAATGAGCCAAAAAGTGTTCTGGGAGAGTTCTTTATTTTATAACATTAATCTTATGTTTAATATCTATAGAGAGAATTAAATACAGCAGAGATTTCCTGTTGAAGCTCTCGAGTGTTTCCATCTGCAGGAAAAAACCAGACTTTCTGCCTGATCATCCCATTGTACTTCAAAAACCAGTAAGTAGTTCTAATTTTGTATTAATTCTAAAATATTTGTCTTTAGTATTTTCACTGGATTCTCTCTCTAGATTTTAAATCTTATTGTGGAATATAATTCAGAAAAGTAGATAAATCTAAATGTATAATATAACCAATTACTGTAAGTAATTACCATGCTGGTCAAGAAACAGAATGGAATTCTATTTTAAGAAATACTTTTTTCCATTGAAAGATAGAGCCTAAAAGTTGTATTGTTTTTCATTTAAGTTCTGTAATCCATCTGCAGTGATTTTACTGTATGATGTAAGGTAGGGGTCAAGTTTTATTTTTTTCTACATGGATATCTAGTCATCCTAGCAATATTTACTGAAAGGACAGTCCTCTGCCACCTTTGTGGCAATATATGTGTGATCTGTTTCTGGGCCCTTTACTCTTCTCAGTTCGTCTTTTTATATAGTAAAGCAAGTCACCCCACTTATTCTTTGGTGTGTTTTTGCTGTTCTTAGTGCTTTATATTTGTATCACTGCATCAGATTTCATCAAAATAAATACAATAAATACACCTCTTTTAGCCCATTGATTGGAAACTGACAGGAGTTTTGGTATCAGGCTTGGGTTAAAATTGTAGCTTCACCTTGTGTTCTAGTATACCGCTCAAACTTAAGTCACTTAACCTTGAACCTCAGTTTTGTGATTGCCGATGAGGTTGGATAATGTATAGAAGGACTTGGATAGTACTTAGCGTTCTCATTATGCACTCAGTAAATTGTCTATTTCCATTTTGACTAGAATTTAGAGTTTTCACAAACTTTTTTTATATGGGTAAAAGTATTCTATTGAGATGAACTCAGAATATAAGTATGCTGAGAGTGGCTCAAATAACATACCACCCGTGCTCTCCATTTTTGGGATTTCTTTTTTTTAAAGATTTTATTTATTTATTTGACAGAGACAGAGACAGCGAGAGCAGGAACACAAGCAGGGGGAGTGGGAGAGGGAGTTTTTTTTTTATTTATTTATTTATTTGAGAGAGAGAGAATGAGAGGGAGGAGGGTCAGAGGGAGAAGCAGACTCCCTGCCGAGCAGGGAGCCCGATGCGGGACTCGATCCCGGGACTCCAGGACCATGACCTGAGCCGAAGGCAGTCGCTCAACCAACTGAGCCACCCAGGCGCCCAAGCCTCTTTTCCTCTTAAAACTGCCTAACTTGTAGAACTTTTAAGCAGAAACTTAAGTTTCTTTCATAACCTTGCACACAGGAATATTTTATCATGAAAAATGTTAATGATGGGAAAATTTTCCCACCTGTTCAGAAAAAAATCTTAGGAGTATGTATGAATAAAGTTAACTTGAGTGCTATATAAAATATGGTCACTTTTTCATTTGCAGACTTATTTCATCTCTTTTATTTTGTAAATAAAATTTTGACATACCATTTTGAACACGCCAGGTACCACAACAGCAGAACAGGTTTGGAATACAATCTAGTACATTTAAAAATGAATTACATATTTTTTAAACATAGAACTGTTTTGACAAATTCAATACTTTCTATAGCAACATGCATTTAAGATCTGTAAACATTTAATAGGATCACAGTATTTGGTTTGATAAACTAAGTAGTAAAAACTGTATTCATTCAAATTAATTGGTAAATTAACTTTTCTTCTATGTTACAGGAAAACCGCCAAAGTTTTAAGTAGCATTTTAAGAACAGATGAATTTGAAGATAAAGAATTATTCGTTTTCTATTTTGGACACCTGCAAATGAAGTGGATCTAGTAACAATAACAGTAATGGACTGTGACAATACAGTTTATTTTTAATTTTGATGGTTGGGTATTTGGTTTCTCCTAAAATATTTTAAACTATAAAGAATTTTCTAATCAGTTGCAGCTTTGCAGGCAGTTTCCTGCATAAATTGGAAAGTAACACTGGAAAGTAAGAATTTGGTTAGTAAAGTGGGAAGGCTGTATTTATAATTTGCATGCTACTTGCAATTTTTTTTTTCATCTCTTGTAATAATGGAATGGAAATGTAAGCTGTAAAGATTCTCAAATATAAAGTATTTGCTATAATGTATATATGGCGCATAATTTCTTGTTGCTTTTAAAGTTGGCTTTTGTTCTGTTTTCCACTGATTTCCTACCAGCACTCTGAAAGGATCTTCACAATCTCTCCAGAGGCTTAAAATGACCCAGGATGTTCAATGCATAGTTCTCAATGACAGGAAGGAGAATATTTTAATAGGTATTTCTTTGGTCTCCAGGTTTTTGATAAAATTGTTTAAGATTCATAATTACTAGCAGAGATTGACAATTTGGAAACAATGAAACTTAAGGTGAAAAATAGCTGCTACTTGTTGTCTGTAATCAGACCCCATGAACAGAAGTTGGGCAATTGCAAAATAAAACATATTTTTATTTCCAAAAGAGGAAAAATTTAGGCATTTGCAAATAACTGAGGTACATTGTTTCAATTCTATAATTTCTTATGACAAGAACATGTATGGATGAAGAATTTGGGGGCTAAACTTTTAGCTCCTAGAAATTTTATATAAAATTTCCTGCATTTTGTCACTCTGGATGTTACTATTGAAAAAAAGTTTCTTCCAGCATAGTGTCAAAAAAAAATTGCTGATATAACGGTAAGTGTAAACTCTCCCTACTTCTATTGTCTCAGATCCCCAGGTCTACTGGCAAGGCATTCAAGACCATCATTTGGCAGAAAGTTTATGATAAACTGAATTCTGAACTCCTAAAACCACTGGTCTTTGGGCTTGTTACCTGGATTCAAGCTTTAGTCCATGGTAGACTTCCCATTTTGGTCTTTTAGTACACTACTTTTCATTACTTTGTTCCCCCCCAAATTTTTTTTTGTAAATAGGGAAAAAAAATACAGTAAAACCATAAATTTATGGGTTACTTAAAAATGATACATTTAAACCTAGGGCCCAGATTTTTCATTTATTTTTTGTCCTATTTTCCCTTTATATTATTGTAGGTTCCAGTGTGTATATATGTATATATACACACAATTTATGTATAATTTGTATAAGAGCTGGAGCCAGTATTAACATAATTAAATTGGTTTGCTTTATTATTTACCTATTCTCAAAATTTTTTTTTTACTCTAGTTAAAAAAACGATGATATAACCTATTCCAGTTTGGAATCTAAAGAGCCCTTCCGCTCAGCACTGTTACTGAGGGCAGAAACCTTTTTAAAGTCATACCACATTGTACTTTGGAAACTGCCTCACACTTAAAAGACTTAGGTACTTTCTGAATCTAATATTGAAATGTTTTGATTGGCTATAATTTGTATTTTTTGAAACCATTCATAACCAACCCTTTCAAGAAGAGTTTTATGTCAAAAGTCACTGTATATAATCAGAGTGAGATTGCAAAGACTGTTATATTATCTGTTTACCTTTGTACATATGTATAACTTGTTTGAATAATCATTGTACATCTCCATTAATGTTCTCTGCTTTGTATATAAATTAAAAGAGTTGAGCCAGGTGTTGTTTCATAGTGTTTGTCATCTTTAGAAATGACCAGAGACAGACAGATATATATATACACACACGCTTTTGTGTCTGTGTGTGTGTATATGTCAAAATTTACTGCCCTTGTCTCGTAGAAGCTATGAAAACAATTTTTACTTAGATGGATGAGGACCCAGGGGTATACAAAGGTATACCTTTGATTGAAGCTAATATTCCATAAATTCATTTGAGAAAATATTTTAGGTCAAATTTTATATTTAAAAATATAATTTAGTTCAACCTTCTGAGTTTTCCCAACAGTAAAAAAAAAAAAAAGTTTTTCCTTGAAGACCTGTGGTTTCAAAGGAATTTGGACTATAGAATAACATGGTAACAAACTTCATATGCCCTGGATTTTTATTAGCAGCATTTATCAGAAGACATTTTATTAAAAATATATGAGCTTGTATAGCAAATATATTAGGTACACAGAACACACCAACTGTTCTGGTGAAACTAGAATTGTCATTCTAGTGTTGAAATTGGAAAAAAGTTTTCTGTCTAGTACCTTTCCTATTTTATTACTTCCTTAAAGTTTTGTGCTTGTTTTATATTTCTTCTTTGTTTACTGAGGTTAAAATTTTATTATTTAAATATTTTGAAATTATTATTTAAATGCAAATGTCTATTTTTCATAAGAAAATTAGTCTTCTGGATCATATGCCAAAAAATTTGAATCAGCTTTTCTGAAAGTAAAATTCTATTTTCTTGATTTGTTGAACTTACATATAAGGGAATTATGATGCTAATAAATGATATAATGGTGTTACAGTACTAAATGGTACCCTACCACAGAATTGTTCACTTGTGAAAAACCAGTTTATAACCTGATAGGTATATAGAGTCTATAGATTACAGCCAAGACTGTTGTATGCTCATGTATTAACATTTTTTTTTTTTTTAGCTTAAACAACAGAAAAGTGTTTTCTTACAGTTCTAGAGACTGGAAGTCCAAGATTAAGGTGCTAGCAAGGTTGATTTCTTCTGAGGCCTCTCCTGGCTGGCTGTTGGCACCTTCTTTCTGTGACCTCATGTGGCCTTTTCTCTGTGCACTTGCTGTCGCTCTCTCTGCACATAAGGACACCATTTTGGGTCACATACTAGCTTTTCCAGTAAAGTGAATACTCATAAGATCATGAGTTGGGAATGGAGTGAGCACTACCAAAGAATAAAGTTCATTCACAGAAAATCAGTTACTTAAAAATGACAAAACACTGATTTAATCTTGATAGTTTATGACAAATCTACAAAAGCTATAGCCTATGCAGTGATACTCTAAAAGTTTCCACTTCAATTATTTTTTATCATTTCTTTTTCACAATTTTTTTCCTTTATGTGTACTTTTTTTTTTTACATATTAGGATTTTGCCACTAAAGGGTTTTAGGTTACAATGTAGCAAAACAGCAAAAATTGAGAATAGTGAACTTCAAAAATTTAGCTAAGCTTCACATGAAAGATATAGAAGACATTTTAGAAGAGTGCACATCTTAAATATATTAAACAAAAGTATACAGATTAGTAACTGCAGAGAATTTTCTAATTCACATTTTAGATAAGAATACTTGTTTTGCACTTAGAACCATAAAGAAAATGTCTAGGAACATCTAGTTGTTCAGGATCCACCATGAAGCTGAAAAGAGAAAAACAACTATTATTAAATGAAAATAATTGCCAGGGTAAGTTAGTTCAAGGTGTAATCATTCTTAAAGAGACTATTTTCTCCCACCTTTAGTCTGCATAATTATCCTTCAAGTTAGTCACTATTTCCTATTTGAACCAAGATTGAACTCTTCCTATGCAATACTTGTACTAGATCTTTTGGCACTTGGTCATAGTCTATTTTGTTTATGAATGGAGCTTATCTTGGCAATGAGATTATAAACGCCCTGAAGATGAAATCATGTTGTTTTAATCTACCCAGTACTGGCAGCAGTTTGGGAATGTAAGATACTTTTACGTAACAATTTCAGAAAGATTGGGGCACGTGGATGTGTTTTAAATATTTTTCGGTATATATTGTAAGATTGAAAATGTTTTCACCAGTGAATATAAATATCCCAAAGACAAATCTATGGCAAAGAAGTAAGACTGGTGGAATGCTGTGAGAAACAGACAAATGGAAAGGATTGAAATTTGTTTGCAAATCTATTTAAGAGATATACTGGTTGGCAATAGATCTTAACTTTCTTGTGTATCTTCTTTTCTCATAGCCAAGGCCTTTCTCATTTGCCAAGGGATATTCTGCTCCACAGACTGAATTCTTCATATTTTGGCCTGGGGGTTTTATTATGATGGCTAGTGGGCCTGTTTGGCTGTACTCCATTATGTCTCATTTGAATGATTTTGATATTTGAGAGTCCATAGGAATATATTTCTTAAGATATTTCTTAGGTAAACCACTTAGAAACTTAAAAAAGCAATCTTATCAGAAATCATAATTTGTGAGTTAAATTAAAAATACAAACCTACCCATCTCTGTATAATAGGTATTTTTTTTCACATTTTTATTTTAGGTCTAAATATGTACAGTTGAAATGCTTTTAATTGTTTTTATTTTAGCTTTCATATAACAAAATTCATAAGACTGGTTACTAAAAATATTAGAAGTCATATGGCCATTAAAACTTTAATATTTATAAGCTAATTCCAGCTGTCTGTCCAGGGAGGTGGTCTGCTGTTGCTATTTATAAAACTTTCACATTAAAAAAAAAAAAGAATAGGATGCCCCAAATAGGTGTTAGAAATCAAACCTATCTTTTCTTTTTGTTCTTCCAAATTTCAGTGGTCACTTTTGAAATTAGATGTGATAAGAAAATTAATGCAAAATAGGGTAACAAAAAAGACATTAAACTGCATTGAATTTGGGTTCTGAGAATAAGAACTGACCCAATATTATTTGTGCCCAACTTTTCTCTCTAAATTAGGGAATACTGTGAGAAAGAAAGAATAATAGAAACAATTCAGCCGTATTAATGGTTTTCTTATTTGAGGATTAAATCAGAGATATTCAGCAAGAGAAATTTTGCAAGTCCACAAATCTGTCCTTAAGAGCTAGAGTAAGTATATACCTAAAGCTCAGGCAGAGATGATAGGTCTGCTGACTGGAAAGCATTCACACCTGATCTCCCCCATCTCACCTACCTTCAATTCCAGAATTTATCTTTTCACTTTCCATTTATTCCCCAATCCATCAAAATCTACCCCAATTTTTAAATTCCTACCACTGTATTGAAACTGTTCTCTTGAACAGTGACCTCTTGTCAAATCCAGTTTTCAGTCCCATTCTCTTCAGTCCCACCCCACTACACAGGCCCCTGACAAGCACTGTGCCTTGCACGGTTATTTCTCTTTTGGTTTCCTTGCTTATCTACTACTCTGATTCTCCACCTCTGAGTGGTTCCCCTCTGTCTCCTTAATAAAGGAGGCTTTTCCCTCCCTTTTATTTTTTTTTTATTTTTTATTTTTTTAAGATTTTATTTATTTATTTGAGAGAGAGAGAATGAGAGAGAGCACATGAGAGGGGGGAGGGTCAGAGGGAGAAGCAGACTCCCTGCCGAGCAGGGAGCCCGATGCGGGACTCGATCCAGGGACTCCAGGATCATGACCTGAGCTGAAGGCAGTCGCTTAACCAACTGAGCCACCCAGGCGCCCTCCCTCCCTTTTAAATAAAGGCATTTTCCTAGGCTTCTGTCAGGTATTTTTTTTTTACCTATACCCTTTCTCACTAAATCCAGTCTTCAAATATCAACTTGCTGTGGTTAACTCCTGAAAACTGTATTGGCAAGGGAACTCTCTGGGTAGCTCCTGGTTCAGGTGCCTTTTTTTTCCTGGCCTAGATTATTGCCCTACCTGACCAGTCTCTCACCTCTCCATGATACTCACCTTTCTCCCTCCTGCCAATTACTACTGATTAGAGCATTCACTACCCCTCTCAAAAACCTTTAATGATTCCTTATTACTAAGTTTAAACTCATTGTATTTTCGACCTCATTTCCTACACTCTTCTCTCTCTACAGGTAACATATAAGCCCTATGCCTTAGTCTTACCTTTGCACCAATTAGCCAAGAACATTTAACATTTCTTGCATTTGTTCATGTCTACAATTTCTAGCAAAGTTTCCTCCATCTTTATTTGCCCAACTCACATTTTAAGTTCCAGCTCCAGAGTCATCTCTTTTTAAAAAACTGTTAAAGAAGCAAACCCTTCTCTAAATCCACATGAATATTATGACCAGCAGTAACTACTGAGCTTGTTTTTTTTCTGCAAGCATTTGTCTTTCCTACTGAACAGAAAGCATTTTATGGGAAGGGACTAAATTTTTACTTTGCATTCTCTCTAGCTCCCGACATAATGTTTATTCAGAATGGAACTCAGCACTAGTAAGGCTAAGCACCCCAGTATCCCCAGTACCTAGCACATAAAACACTCATTAAATATATTTAATTGGTGACTGGAAGGGTAGATGAACAAATGAATTTTGGTTCTCAATTATCTTAAGCCTTGGCCAGGCCAGACTTCTTAGACAATTTCATTTCAAATTTCTCTTTCCACTCTGCTTTCCAATTACAAATAATATTTTAATAGCTATTAAAATATTTCCAGCTTCTAATCTGCAGTCTATAGGTCACACATTTCAAATTTATTCAATATACTAAATTATAATATGGTAAAGCATTTGAATAATTTTTTTGGAAATGTCCTGATTTGACTTCAAGTTCGTTAGATTACTGAATGTGACCAAAAAGGACTAATATTAAGTTTAATATAGTCAGGAATACAAACAGGATCAACTAAGGAGTAAAGATAATAGAATATATAGATCTCTTATTTCTTCCCCCCACTTTTGGATTTTAAGATCTAATAAAGAGAGCACCACTGATCAAGTTTGGGGGTAAGAAAATACTATCTTTTAAAAAGCAAAAGACAATACAAAAGCATATAGAAGCACTGTGAAACCAGGATAATTACCAGGAACTAGCATAGTAGATGTGAGTTCTGGAGTTTCCAAGAAATCCACGTTGCTTCTTTGGAATGTCTTGCTATAATTCGTCTGAAGGTGGCTGTATAAATAATTATAGGTTAAGGTTGTACACTTTTATTACAATCTTTCTAAGTAGAGTGCAACAGAGTTTGAATTCATCAAGATGGCAAGGTTTTGGATGATTTGGATTAAGTGTCTGAATATAGACTTCTTTTTCTGGTTATTTAGCCTTAAAAGTAATTTAACAGTTGTCATCAGAAAAAAAACTTCTTAAAGACTTTTAAAAACAGAAGAACATTAATTCCCGTGGAAAATAGAACAAAAGGAGAAAGACTTTAATTACAGAAAGAAGTTTAAACAGAAGAAAGAATATTTTGGCTGTCCGGATGATTAAAAAAATAGGATAGCTAAGAAGAGAGACTATAGATTTTCTCTTTCTAGGGGAAAAAAAAAAAAAATCATCTATCTTAAAGTGTAGGCCTGGAGTACAAAATTGAGTAAGTTGCCTTTAAAGCTCCCTTCTGTGTTTGAAATTCTATTGGTGTCATTATGTATTATAGTTTTAAAATAGTCACAAAAAACTTTTAGGTTAAATATGTATAACTAAATTTCCAGGTATTCTATTACTTGTACAACATGATTTGATACACATTACATACCGTAGAATAGTTACCAAGAGATGTTGATTTTTTAATCGTTTCCAAACAATGTCTTTAATTTCCCTTTTTTTTTTTTTGCAGTTTAAAGACATTAAGCTATAATGGTCTTAACCGTTACATATAGTTTTACTGTAAAGTAAAATACCACAGAATTTATGAAAAATTAGAAGGTAAAATTATTTTCTCATCCTTCCTTTTCTGTGTCCTTTGTCCACCCACCCTCCTGACACTTTAGACACCCACGACCCATATCTAACTCTTACTTGAAAGCATCAGTAAAATGGTTATAGTTAAAGTAGGATCATTACCAAAAGTATTTGTGCTTTAAGAAGAAAGTGGTTTCTAATCCATGAGATAAATTCCTAAAAGGGTGGGATTTAGGAAAACGAACAAATGGGACAGATTTTAAGGTGAGGTAAAAGGAACAGAGCTTTTCCTACAAGTTCTAAAAACATTACATATATTTCCCTCTCCCTGCCCCCACCCCCAAAAGCCTGTTATTACTTACCTATTCCACACACTGCTGTTCTCCCAAAACTCATAAATTATGTACCGAGATTCATTGGAAAGCTTCTGTATGGAAATACTGAAATGGAAAAGAAAAAGCGTAAGTAGCCACAGGAAATTAAAGACAAGAAGAAACTAATTTTTCTTTTTTAAAAAAGATTTTAGTTATTTTAGAGAGTGCAAGCAAGCTCGAGTGGAGGGAGAGGCAGAGGGAGAGAATCTCAAGCACGGTTCACAATGAGCAAGGAGCCCTACATGGTACTTGATCTCACAACCCTGAGATCATGACCTGAGCTGAAATCAAGAGTTGGATGCTTAACTGACAGCCACACAGGTGCCCTAAGGAGAAAACTAACTTTTCTAGGGGCGCCTGGGTGGCTCAGTCATTAAAGCATCTGCCTTCGGCTCAGGTCATGATCCCAGGGTCCTGGGATCGAGCCCCACATCGGGCTCCCTGCTCTGCGGGAAGCCTGCTTCTCCCTCTCCCACTCCCCCTGCTTGTGTTCCCTCTCTCGCTTTGTCTCTCTCTGTCAAATAAAATCTTTAAAAAAAAACCAACTTTTTAAATCATCTCTGTATGTGGTATGAAACAAGCTTACATATTCATATGGGAAACACCTATGGTGCCTGCATGAAAATGAAAGTTTTGTGAAGAATTGATTAGTTCAATGTCTGTATTGTTTGACATTTTTTAATTTTCTGGTTTGGCATCATGAAAATCATCTCAGTATATTATAGACATCACAAATACAACTTCTGTAAAATTTCATTCATTCAAAAGATTATCTGTTGTGTTATGGTTCCAAAAACTTGAGTGCATGCCACTGCCCCTGCGCTCAAGTGCAGCTCTTTGAATCCTGTCTGCCTCCATAGCTCTTTCCAAATTCCTGGCCTTATCTCTCCTTGGATAGACTGCTGCAAGGCTTCTGGTTTGCCAGTGCCCATGGTTCATTCTCTCTCTCTCTCTCTCACACACACACACACACACACACCACAATTTTCTCTCCCGACTTTGAGAGTCCACATTCTAGCCATAATTGTAGTTTTTTCTTTGTGTGCTTTTCCAATTTAGGGCAAATTTGTTCCTTGCAATTCTCTGACCAGCCTGAGAATGGCTAAAAGGCTATGCAATGTGTTTTGGAGGAGTTGGATTGGGGGTGTGCTGAAAAGACACATTGGGGTGAAGGCTGGATTTAATCCTGGAGCAATAAAGAACCACGGAAGGATTTAAAACAGGGAGGTATCAGGGTTAGAGGTGGGTTTTAAAAGATCCTTCTGATGGTGGTGTGAGGTATCCCATGGAGAATAGTCAATACAACACAGGAAGAAAAGCTAGAAAGGTCATGAAATCGCTTAGGTGAGTGATGACAAAGATCCAAATTAAGGTAGAAAGGAGAAGGGGACAGATTTATAAATTTAAGGGAGACTGGGAGACAAATACAAAGATGCCTTTAAAAAATTAATTCCAGGGACTTCCAGGGAAGATGGTGGAGTACGAGGACCCTAAATTCACCTTGTCCCACGATAGAACTAGATGACAGCCACCTCAGTATAAGTAACTCAGAAAATGACCCATAGACTGGCAGAACAGATTCTCCATAGCTAAATGTAGAGAAGAGATCACATCTAACTGTTGGGAGCTACAGGGACCGTTGGACTGCCGGCAGAGGGGAGGGACACATAGGGGTAGAGGAGAGAGAAACAGACCCTCACAGTGGGAAGCCTGCAAGGGGAAGATGAATTTGGCTTTGAAAATCAGAAGGGCCAAATTTCATGAGTTCTTAAAACCAGTGGGTCTTAAAACTTAGAATGTAAAAAATCAGCAGGGTTGGCTCTGGGAGAGCCTGGAGGGATTCTGAATCCCTACCCTTAAAGAGCACAACAAACAGCCCCATGAAGATACAGGATAGAAGCAGCAGTTTGAAAAAATGCCTGAAGTATACTTGTTTACTAATTTCAGGGCATGTGCTGGAGGGGCAGGGATCATTGGCAGACTTCTCCAGGAACACAGGAACAGGCAGGTGCCGTTTCCCTTCCCTGATCCCCAGTATAAATACACAGCCACCTGTGGGAACCAGAGCAGCATGGACAATCCCTACGTAACTTGCTAATACTGTGCATCCTGCCCAGCCCCACCCCCCCTGCATCCCTGCACTTAGGCAGATCCACCCTCTCCAACTTGGCCTGTCTTGGTTCTGGTGGCTGCAGGTCCTTCCCACAGCAGACCAGGACAAACCTTGCTAACACCACACATCCAGCCCCTGTTCGGCAGATCTGCCCCCTCCTAGATGCTCTTGGCCAGAGCCCATCCAAAGCAGAGCCATAAGCTTGGCTGTGTACAAGCAGCTCTGAGAGGCCAGCACCACTCAGTGATGCCTGCCCCTGGGAAAGGGGGAGATAACCACATACACACCAGTCCAGCTACAGCCCTAGCAGTGGGCTGAGGGCAGACGTCTGGTCTGACTGTAAGTCCTGCTCAACGATGAACAAAAACTTCTCGGAGACAAAACAGTGAAAGTGCCCTGCGTTCAGTGCTACTATATTTCTGGCAAATGTCTGGTCTGACTCAACTCAAGCCCAAGGCAGCCCAAGACTGGCTCACTAACAGCACAGGGACCAGACTACTGCTGACAACAGGCTAAGAGGGCCATTGCTGATGACTGGACTGAAGGAAAAAGTGGCTCAGTCACAATAGCAGGGTGCACGAAACACATAGGAGACACCCTTGAAGTGCCAGGTTCAGGTGAACAAGGGACACTGCAATGGAGGGCACTACAGGACCTCTTCTTCATAAGGCCACTACTTTCAGGAGCAGGAGACAGAGCTGACTTTCCTAATACATAGTAACAGACAGAGACAAATGAAAGGACAGAGGAACGCATCCCAAATGGAAGAATAGGACAAAATCACAGCAAGAGGCCTAACTGAAATGGAGATAAGTAATATGCCTGATGGAGAATGTAAAGTACTGATCATAATACTTACCGGATATGAGAAAAGAGTGGAGGACATCAGTGAGACCCTTAACAGTGAGACAGAAAACATAAAAAAAATAATTAGAAATGAACTCAATAAATGAAATAAAAATACACTAGATGGAATAAGGAGACTAGAGGATGCAGAAAAACAGACAAGTGACTTGGGAGGACAGTAATGGAAAGCAATCAAGCTGAACAGGAGAAAGAAAAAAATAATACAAAATGAATATAGATTTAGGGATCTCAGCAACACCATCAAGTTTACTAACATTCACATTATAGGGATCCCAGAAGTAGAAGAGAGGGAAAACAGGGCAGAAAATTTATTTGAATAAATAATAACTGAAACTTCCTGATTCTAGGGAAGGAAACAGATATCCAGATCCGAAAAGCACAGAAAGACCCTAATGAAATCAACCCAAGAAGGTCCACACCATGACACATAATAATTAAAATGGCTAAAAGTAGTGAGAGAGAATTTAAAAGTAGCAAGAAAAAAAGAAAACAGTTATATATAAGGGAAACCACACAAAGCTATGAGCTGATTTTTCAGCAAAAAAGTTACAGGCTGGAAAGGAGTGGTGTGATACATTCAAAGTGCTGAAACAAAAGAATCTGCAGCCAAGAATACTCTATCCAGCAAGGCTATCATTCAGAATAGAAGGAGAGAGAGTTTCCCAGACAAAAGCTAAATTTATTACCATTAAACCAGCCGTACAAGAAATGTTAAAGGGGACTCTCTGAGTGGAAAGCAAAGACCATAAGTAGGAGTAAGAAAAGAAGCACAAAAGAGTAAAATTAAGTACATATGTAAAAACTGGTCAAGAGACTCACAAAAGGTTGTAAAGTATGGTACCATATACCTAAAATTTGGGGGTAGACAACTAGGATAAATGGATAAATTCCTAGAAACAGAACTTCCCAAAACTGAAGAAGAAAGAAACAGAAAATTTAAACAGACTGGTTACTAGCAATGAAATTGCATCAGTAATCAAAAAACTCCAACAAACAAAAGTCCAGGACCAGATGGCTTCATAGGTGAATTCTACCAAACATTTAAGGAAGAGCGAATACCTATTATCAAACTATTCCAAAAAAATAGAAAAGGAGGCAAAGCTTCCAAATTCATTCTATAAAGCCAGTATTACCCTGATACCAAAACCAGATAAAGATACTATAATAAAAGAGAATAAAAGAGAACTTCAAGCCAATATCTCTGAAGAACATAGATGCAAAATTCCTCAATAAAATATTAACAAACCAAATCCAACAATATATTAAAAAAATCATTCACCACAATCAAGTGGGATTTATTTCTTGGATGCAAGGGTGGTTCAAAATTTCACAAATCAATCAATGTGAATACACCACATCACTAAGAAAAAGGATAAAAACTATATAATCATTTCAATAAATGTAGAAAAAGCATTTGACAAAGGACAGAACCCATTCATGATAAAAACTCTCAACAAAGTAGGTTTAGAGGGAACATACCTCAACATATATGAAAAACTCAGTGAACATCATACTCAATAGGGAAAAACTGAGAGCTTTCCCCCTAAGATCAGGAATAAGACAAGGATGTCCACTTTCACCATAGTACTATTTCAACTTAATATTACTGAAAGTCCTAGCTACAGCAATCAGACAACAAAAAAGGAATAAAAAGCATCCAAATAGTAAGGAAGGAGTAAGACTTTCACTATTTGCAGATGACATGATACTATATACAGAAAACCCTAAAGACTCCACCAAAAAACTGTTAGAAGTGATAAGTGAATTTAGTAAGGTCACCACAGGATAGAAAATCAATAGAGAGAAATCTGTTGCATTTCTATACACTAATAATGAAGTAGCAAAAAGAAAAATTTAGAAACCAATTCCATTTACATCAAAAATAAAATACATAGGAGTAAACTTAACCAAGGAGGTGAAAGACCTGTACTCTGAAAACTATAAAACACTGACAAAAGAAACTGAAGGTGCAAACAAATGGGAAGACATTCATGCTCATGGATTGGGAACACCAATATTGTTCAAATGGCCGTATTACCCAAAGCAATCTACAAATTTAATGCAATCCCTGTCAAAAGACCATTAG